TTTCTCCCTCCCTTCCCCTCTCTCTAAAAATAAGTAAATAAAATCTTTAAAAAATAAAAATAAAATCTTTTTTAAAAAATTAGGTGCCTATACTTCGTACATAAGGATTTCTGGTACAAAGAATTAACCAATCAGATGCAATCTTATTATATGGCATAGCCAATAAGATGCAACTCTATTATAAAACCTATATATTTATGGTTCAAAACAGGGCATTCACACCAGACAGCTATTGTGTTGGCTGTTGTCATTTTTTAATTTGACAATATAAGGGAAAAGAAGTCAGTGCCCCTGACTAAATAGTCAGGTACTGCATGTTTTAAAAATTCTTGCAGCACACCAGTTGAAAATCGCTGTTCTAGGTCAATTTATTCCCTGTAATATTATTACATTCCTAAAGGGGTAGGTACTATTATCATCATCCCAATTTTATGGATGAGAAAATTAAGACGAGGAAAGGTTAAATAACTAGCTCAAAGTCATTTTAATAAACTATGGAAGAATTGAAATTCAGTCTGACTTCAGAGGCCATGGTCTTAACAACCATGATATAGAACATGTTGGATTTTAACAACATATTTTAATATTCCAATTTGAAAAGTATCTTTAAAATTCCATCACAATTTTATTAATATAATATATAAAATCATTAAGAAAAAACAAATAAGATTGTCTGAAATCTACCTTTGTTTTCAGTATCTTTGTTCACTTGTCAATAAAATTAAGCCATCTACTTCAGTCACACAGATACCTTTAAAAATACAACAACTAAAAGAAAAAAACCAATTCCATTAACCTGTCTAAGGTTTTTAATAACTCTTTCAAACCTGAGTGATTCTGAAACAGCAGTGAGTGAGCCAGTCCACATCACCATGGCTGCAGTGAGTAACCTTGTCAGCAAGTTGGACTCAATTCTATACAACTCTCACAACTGCAGCATACACCACAAAACACAAGTTCACTTTTGGAGCTGCTGATGCTCCTTACTGCCTCCTCATTTTCTTTAATCATCCCTACTCTGCTGGCTCCTTCATTTCTGCCTCCAAATACATATGAGGCTATTGAGTTGGACCTAAAAAAGTCTGTCCACAGGTCTTCCTGCCTCTTATAACTACATTCTATCTCCCTCTGACCTCTCACTGACAAACACTAAAAGGAAAAGCTAGCGTAAAAAATGGCCCTGAAGTCTGGACATAGGATCTCTTGCTTGTCACCAAGCATGTGACCTTGAATGTTTCACTTTTAAATGTGGTGTCTCCATTTCCCATCAGTAAAACTAATATTAGTCCATTATGTATTTGACCAACATAGGTCCAATCAGTTATTTTATCAAGAAAAAAGTATGTTTATCTGTAGTAGGTACCATGCTTTAGCTTAGCTTAGACACAAGCACATCATTACTAGTTAAATTTTAATGGGCTCCACTTAACAGAGATAACTTCATTTGACAGACTACATATTTTTAAAATATTTTATTCATTTATGTTTGTATTTTTAGAGAGGGAAGGGAGGGAGAAAGAGAGAGAGAGAGAAACATCAATGTGCGGTTGCTGGGGGCCATGGCCCGCAACCCAGGCATGTGACCTGACTGGGAATTGAACCTGCGACACTTTGGTTCACAGCCCGTGCTCAATCCACTGAGCTATGCCAGCCAGGGCTTCAATAGACTATATTTTAAAAATATAAACTATCGTACATAGGGGGCAGTCACTGTGAGAACACACAGGCAACACGAACGGCCTTAATGGAAATGTTTTCATCAAAGCTTGTATCCTAAAATACCAAATACTCTTTATGAGGGCTATATTTTTATTTCAAGATATTTCTGTAAATTTTTTTGTATTACTGTTACATAAGTCAGGGGTCTGTGGAAAGAAAACTTATACCTGCTCTTCTTGGAAGAGAAGAAAAACATGCTATTTTTTTTTACTTTGATGTAATTTAAAACTAGGTATAATTTGAAAGCAGTGATTCCTTTAGAAAGTGCATTCTGTTTCACACCAAATTGGGCCATACATATCATCCAATAATTCCAGCATTATGGTTGTGGGAAAGTGATTTAAAATTATACACCAAAGAAATAGTTCTGTTAAAATCTCTCTAACTGGGAACTAAATTAGTCAGAGTTTCTGTAGAGAACAATAGTCTAGTATAATTGCTCGTTTTATAGAGGCTTACATATTATCATAGATATATGCATACTAGACAAGAGCATCAAGCCATATAACTCTACAAATATTTTATTAGACTGAATGTGAGATTAAAGCATAGGTGCAATGCACCAAAATTTATCCTGTAATTACCATTTGAGCATCTTTCCACAAAGACAGGAGGTAAAGTACAGTTGTCAACTTTAGGCCAATCTGAGAGACACGGCAAAATATTAAACAAGAGCACAGGCTAACATTCTACTATGAACGTGATTCCTCTTAAAAACATCTTGACTTCCAACCTAATGCTGAAACACACATATAATAAAATCAGCAAGCAACTCACTCCCAATGAAAATAAAAGAAGAGTCTAACAGATTTTAAAGAAGGATACTTAAGATGCTCAAAAAGAAAAAGAAAAGTGACGTTAGTATTACGATACCCCAGGGCAAAAAGATATCCGTGGTTAAATAAGCTTCATGCAATTTATGGCCCCTCTTAAAAATTCCCACCGCATATAATAAATAATATTCAAGACTCTCAAAAGTTGTGTAGTAAAGAAACATTGCTTAACTATGTTTAGCTCTGAATTTCCCTACTTCATTTAGCTGGACAGCCCTTTTCTCATGTTGTAATAAGCAACACTTACTGACTACATACTAAGGGTCAGGCACTACTCTATGTCTTTACATGAATTAACATTTAATGCTCAAAACAACACTGAGAGGCAGATGCTATTATTATCCCCATTTTACAGATGAGCAAATGAAGTCAGAAAAAGGTAAAATATCTTCCCCCAGGTCACACAGCTAATCAAGTGGCAGAGCTGGGATTTGAACCTAGTATAGCCTGGCTCTGGAGTCTTCTGCTAACTATTAGGCAATTCTACTTCTATGTAATATTCATTAGAATCTAAGGAACTGGTTTCACTCCCTGGAATTCTTATTGGCAAATGCTGACGTACAACAATTTATATCTATGCAAAAGGAAAACTAACACATAGGAAAAAAAGTGTGAGGAAATAGATATCCTACTAGTTAACTCAATTGTGTTTGCTGTAGGACTATGGAAGATTTTTTTTTTCTTAAAAAATATTTCCCCCATTTTTAGCACTATTTATTTTATACTTGTGTTATCTTCTTTCTAGGTACTCCAGAGAGGTTGCACCCTATCCAATTACAATTCTCCATCAATGTGGGGATCACTTGGCACTGGATAAAGGAATTTTATTTCCCTCAAATGGCCAACATACTTTTCAGTAATGTTCCCTACATTAAAAAAAAAAGTACTGTCCAAACTTCCTTCAAAAAATCAACAGCAGTAGCTAATATTTGCTGAATGCTTACTCTCTGCAAGGTGTGTGCTGAGTGCGGTATGCACACGACTCGTTCACTTCCCATCCCTCTGAAATGGGTACTACCGTCTCCATTTTACTATCAGGAAACCAACACTTAGATGTCAGCCATTCTCAGAGTAGGATCCACAAGGTCAAAGCTGTTCTCATAATGATACTAAAATGTTAGATGTCTTCTTCACTCTGTTGACTTTTGCACTGAGAGCAGAAAAGCGGTGGTCATAAAACTACTGGTGCCGTGACACAAATCATGGCGGCAGTGGTCACTGTATTCTCCACTCAGAGTTGAAAACAAGTCAGTTTTGCTTGAGATGAAGCAGTAGAAATTACAAATTTTATGAAATCTCAACTCTCACATGCATATCTTATCAATATTCTGAGTGATAACATGGGAAGCACTCACAGAGCACCTTGACTGTAATCCAAGTACAGTGGTGGCCTCAAGAAAAAGTTCTAATAAAACTGTTTGAATCATGATCTAAATCAACTGCTTCCTTCATGGAACATCTTATTACTTGAAAGAAGGACTGACTGAACAACTATGGCAGGGATGTCAAACTCATTTTCACTGGGGGCCACATCAGCCTCGCTGGTGCCTTCAAAGGGCAGAATGTAACTTTAGGACTGTATAAATGTAACTACTCCTTAATAGTTAAGCAAAAGCTCAGTGCTGCTGCTGGGCAGAAACAAGGTGCTGGGCTGGATAAAACTAGGTGGAGGGCCAGATTCAGCCCACAAGCCTTATGTTTGCCACCTGTGAACTATGGTTATTCAGATTTGGGTAGTCAACATTTTCTCAAAAATAAATGAAGCCTGTCACTTTCAGGAAAGTATCTGATAGTATTTGGTGCCACTGATAACATCTGACCTTTCAGGCAAAATTAGAATTTTAGAAATGTTCACCATCATAAACTTCAGTTGACCAATATTTAAAGACTCTTCTGATGCTATTAATAGATGTGTATTTTTTAATTGGTTTAAAACTGAGCACAAACTCAATACACGACCAAAAGATTTAAGGAGAGGTTGCTAGAGACCTCTGGAAAAAGGGATTGCTCCTGTTTCAGAGAAAGATTTCAAAAGCCAGTCCTCTCTTTGTGAGCAGTGTGACATGGATATGAAGCTTGAAACTACTGCAATAAGCGTGACCTCAAAGGGAAGCCAACCTCGAGATGAAGCTGACACTGCAGAAGGCAGAAGAGGGGCAGAGAGAAACTGTCACAGGCAACATAACCGTGCAGCTGGATTCAATCACTCCACACCCAACCAACTTCTGGACTACTCCATACATTCTCTGAATTGCTGAAACCAATCTGAATTGGGTATTCTGTGATACCAGAAAGACTCCTTATTTGAGGAATTCCACTAAATTAAACTAAAAATTTATTTTAAAGAATATGAATGTAATACGGTGATAATTAAAGAGAAACTTTTACTGAGAAAACCCACATTGAACTTGTATAGTTTCATCAAGAAGTAGCATTATTTTTTATTACCTTTTCAGTGTTCTTGTATTTTTCCCATCCTTTTAGCATTTTCAACCATTTAGTTGTTCTTTCAATTTCCAGGTGCTTTTGCTAAAATAAAATTGAAATTTATTGTTACTATTTGTTCAAGGCTTCTTTACTTACGAATTACAAAAGAAAAAAAGTCAAAGAAAATGCTCCTAAAAAAGAACTACTAAAAGAGGTAAGATATATGAGAGAGCAAATATCCTATCTAACTTTTTAAAAGTTGTATCAGTAATTTTAGAGTTGTATCAATACTATTTCATAGTTCAAGTTAAGATACACAGGAGGTATCTCACTGGAGTAGGTAAAGAGAAAGAAATTGCTTAAATTTCCCCAACATGCTTAAACTAATCACTAAAAACCCTGAACATTCTACAAATTTAAACCAAAAGAAAATTTTAAAATATTTTGAAATATCTTTTATGAAACAACAAAAACATAACTTCAAAATTCCATTCTCTTCTCCCACCCCCCCCCCATTTTACTCAATTCTAGCATCTTAGTGTTTTCAGTGACAGAGTTGGAATTCTTAAACAAGAATTTGGTATTTATTGATCTGTGGAGTGTTTGGAGTGATTTATATTTAATTATCGCTGTGCTAGTGAAAAATTACACAAAAGTAATAGTTGCTGCCAAAAAGGAAAGCTCACCATTTACTCAGGATGACTTAGGTGGGAATCTGCTGTGACAGGTGCTACAGCATAGGGACAGAAAGGTAAGAGTAAGGTCACGGTGGAAGAAGTAGTCAAGTACACCAAAGGATGTCAGAGAAGATGGGCCCTACATAAGGAATTAGAGGACTATCAGGGTTTTTATCAAGTGTCGTGTGCAAAACAATATTCTAAGAAGCATGGGTAGACGTAATTCCAAAATAATTCAGTATCAGAAGAGGCTGAATGAAAACAGTCTTATATGTCACACTAAATTGGAACTTGGGGCACAGCTGGGGAATGGGCAAGGTGGTACAGAAAGTGCTTCTCCCTCACTTCTTTGATGGCTAGAAGAGGGATATTGTTTTCCTAAGGAACTGGACCTGCTGTCCAATCTCCTACTCACATCTAAAGTGGCACAGTGACTAGATGATTAGTAAATTTAGAAAGAGAACCAGGTGTAGAGACCTCAGTCCCTTTTCTTAGAAGCCCAACAACTCTCAGAAAGCACATTTTTCAGGCAAAAGAAAACAAAAACAAAAACAACATACTCCTCAGCCATAAAGTCTATGGTGACCCCTGCCAGTGATCAGGTGAGTAAGTCTGTCTCCTTCCAGGGTTCAATACTGGGACACCTGTACGCCTAACCCACATTCTCCCCTAACTACTCTGTTCCAGGAAGGGTAGGGTGCTCGCTGCTTCCCCATCGCCCAGAACACTGCTGGGCACTCAGTAGGCATTTAGTTAATCATTTCATTTTTATGAGAACAAAACACAGCATAATTTTCTCTCTAAATGAGCTGAGATTCTGCTATTTTGTTCATTTTTTTCAATCCTCCCATTTTCTTTTCTGGAGGTTTCTATAAGTATAATAAGCATATGAATAAAAAGCAATGGAATTGGAAAACTGCCTAGGAAAGAAAATTATTCTGAGGATACATTTTATGCTCAAAATGTACGCTTACTACAACCCTATGAGGTAAACACCCCTATTTTACAGATAAAGAAACAGAGGTACAAAAGGGTTAAGTGACTTGTCCAAATTCCCCTATCTAGTACATTCATGTTTGAAGGAGGAGTTTGAAACTGGGCAGCCTGGTTTCAGGACCTGCACTTTCAACCCCACACCTTATTATCTCTTGCTTCCCTCGGGTCCCTGCTCTGGTTCAAGCAATCACACTCCTGGATGAAAGCAGTAGCTCCTTATTGATTAGCTTTAATACAGCCTCAAACAGGCAGATGGCATATACCCACCATCAATATTTTTAGATTTAAAAGAGGCATAAAATCCCAAAGAAAATCCTGAATTTAGGAAAAGACTCTCACCAACAAGAATAATCTTATAGAATTTTATTTTCAGGAATATTCTTAAAACCTTTGAACTTCTTGTCAAGACAGAGGCATAGATAGACACACTTCACCTCCTCACACAACCATAAGAAGGATCACTATTAACCTCAAAACAAAAACACCCAGAACTGCCAGAAAATTGAAATGTATGGAAGTCTAACAACCAAAGATTTAAAAAGGCCATATTCATCCAGATGGGTAGGAGGAATAGAGATGGGAGCCCAGCGGAGAAGACGCAGTGTGGAGGCAGGTGTGAAAGCAGTGAGGCAGACAGCAGAATGGGTGGTCCCACATTCATGTGTGGTATGTAAAAATTGGGAGGGATACCTTGGGAGCGAGCAATGCCAGACCCAAGCCAGACTGCACAGCTGGGGGTTGCAGTACTGGGAAAATAAAGCCTCATAACTTCAGGCTATTAAAACCAGTGGGGGTTGGGGCAGCGGAAGAAACTGCCAGTTTCTCAGGAAGGTCTGTTTAAAGGGCCTGCACAGTCCTAGAATGTATGCAAACCCACCCACTCTGGGAACCAACACCAGGGCAACAGCCAGAGGGGTGCCAGTCACATGTGGTAAGCGGGCCAAGTGACTGGAGGCAGGGTGAGTGCCAAGCAAGCCTCTAGCAGCAAGGCAGCAGCACTGGCCCTTCTCATATCCCTCCCCCACATACAGAGCCACAAACAGTGGAGTGGGTTGCCCCCCCCCCGCCCCCGGTGACTACCTATGGCTCTGTCTGCCCCATACAACTTAACAGGTATGCTAAGACTGAGAGTCAAAGCAGTTCTATCTAATACACAGAAACAAACACAGGGAGGCTGCAAAATTGAGGAGACAAAGAAAAATGGCCCAAATGAAAGAACAGAACAAAAACCCAGAAAAAGAGCTAAACAAAATGGAGATAGCCAACCCATCAGAGGCAGAGTTCAAAACACTGGTGATAAGGGTGCTCAGAGAACTCAATAAGTATGGTAAAAGCATAAGGGAAGAAATGAAGGCTACACTAAGTGAAATGAAGAAAAACCCACAGGGAACCAACAGAGAAGGGAAAGAAGCTGGGATTCAACCATTTGGAACACAAGGAAGAAATAAACAGTCAATCAGAACAGAATGAAGAAACAAGAATTCAAAAACATGAGGAGAAAATAAAAAGACTCTGGGACATCTCCAAAAGTACCACCATCTGAATCATAGGGATGTCAGAAGGAAATGAGGAACAATAAGAACTTGAAAACTTATTTGAAAAAATAGTGAAAGAAATCTTCCCTATTTGGTGAAGGAAATAGACATACAAGTCCAGGAAGCACAGAGAGTCCCAAACAAGGTGGACACAAAGAGGATAGTACCAAGATAAATCCTAATTAAAATGCCAAAGGTTAAAGATAAAGAAAGAATCTTAAAAGCAGCCAGAGAAAAGCAGAGTTACTTAAAAAGGAGTTCCTATAAGACTGTCAGCTGATTTCTCAAAACAAACTTCGCAGGCAAGAAGGGACTGGCAAGAAGTATTCAAAGTGATGAAAGGCAAGGACCTACAATAAAAATTACTCTATCCAGCAAAGCTATCATCTAGAATGGAAGGGCAGAAAAAGTGCTTCCCAGAGAAGGTAAACCTAAAGGAATTCATTATCACCAAGCCCTTATAATATGACATGTTAAAGGGATTTATTTAAGAAAAAGAAGACCAAAGCTATAAACAACAAAATGACAACAAACTCACAATTATCAGCAACTGAATCTAAAAACAAAAACAAAAACAAACTAAGCAAACAACTAGAACAGGAACAGAATCATAGAAATGGAGATCACATGGAAGGTTATCAGCTAGTTGTGGGAAGGGGGAGAATGTGGGAAAGAAAAGGTGCAGGGATTAAGAAGCATTAATTGGTAGGCACAAAATAGACAGGGAGGATGTTAAGAATAGTATAGGAAATAGAGAACCCAAAGAACTTATATGCATGACCCATGGACATGAACTAAGGCAGGGGGATTGCTGGAGGCAGAGGGGCACTGGGCAGAAGTGGACAAAGGAGGAAAAGTTGGGACAACTGTAATAGCATAATCAATAAAATATACTTTAAAACAAAAAACAGAAAAACTCTTTAATTACTTCTTAACTCTTTATAAAAAGTTTGGTTTTTTCATAGTAAAAAATGATCATTTGTGATCAAAGGTTATGCTGTTATAAATTCCTTATTTCAAAAAGATTAAGCATGGTTTTCATTAGATTATTAGTGATAAAGTGTTGCAGATGGTTCCAGAAATATGTTTAACTTTAAAACTCAGTGGGGCACTGAAATCTAATTAATGTTTCTGCTAAATGTTACTTTAGAGAAGGCCAAGCTATGAAAAATTAAGATTGATCTAAGCTGCCATTTGGTATTTTTTTGTTCTCTGCACTTCCTCCTCTGACTTCTTCAAAGCATGATCCTCTTCTCCAACAACAGGAAAGCACCAAATAATTCAAGCTAACCCAAGAGTATAATAACACAATTTGCCAGGAACAATCCTGCTGAGATCTAGCCTGTCTCTTGCTATCTTCAATTTTTTTACTATAAATGATCAATTAATCACTTTAAGAAGTAGTTATTCTTTTTTGTAATGGCACTCTTTTATATTCTAATTCTTATCATATATATAGATTATTTTAAATGCTACAAATTCTCACATGCAAGGACAAAACACACACACAATTTTAAGAACCATTAAACATGCTTTTATTTCCCCTGCAGCAAAAATAAAAATTGTGCACCTTGGAAAAAGTTCACAGGCTATTGGATTTTAAAATTATATATCAGTAGTTGAATCAGGTTTAAATGTTAATTCCATGACACTGTCAGTTCAACTACATTAGACTTGAATGCATATGAATGTCTCCCCGCACTAATAAATCTATAATTCATGGATAAGATATATTTTATCACAAAACATGCTAAGCCAACTATTCCAGAATTTATTCTAAAGTAAGCAGTAACTGAAAACTATGGGACAAATGAGAAATTAAGTGCTCTAGAAAAACAGGCTGGGGAAATACATCTTGCCATGGACTAAATAACACCAACACAAAGTAGAATAT